CCCCTGCACCCACCCCTGCAGTTCACCAACCTCTCCTTCCTGCAGGCCGTCAACACTTTCCCCGCCGACCAGCTGCAGGGACTGTACGGCCTGAGCGCGGTGCAAACCATGCATATGAACCACTGGACTCTTGGCTACCCGCACATGCAAGGACTGAGGTCGACGATCACGGCGGCCGCTCAGGGTCTGGTGGACCCCAGGATCCCCTTCCCAGCGTTGCCCTTCACAGCGGCCGCGCATCTCTTCCATCCGAAACAGGCCGCCGTTACGCACGGCGTCCAGCCGCATCACAAGGACAGACCCAGGTTTGACTTTGCCAACCTGGCCCTCGCTGCCACCCAGGAGGACCCGCCAAAGGCTGCGGATCTGGCAAAGCTGGCATCGGGACTAGGGGGGGCCATCTCCGAGCTGAGCAAGCTGTCCCCTGACAGAAAACCCACCCGGGGCAGACTTCCTTCCAAGACTAAAAAGGAGTTTATTTGCAAGTTCTGTGGCAGACATTTCACCAAGTCCTACAACCTGCTCATCCATGAGAGGACCCACACAGACGAGCGGCCCTACACCTGCGATATTTGTCACAAGGCTTTCAGGAGACAGGACCATCTCAGAGACCACAGGTGAGACAGAAAACCAGCCTTCCTGCAGCATCTCTCACTTTTGTTTTTAAAAATAGCTGTTCACGTTTTTCTACATGAAGCCTTTGTATTTTTTCTTTGCTCTGCAAATGTGTTTTTAACCGAATACCTGCAGACACTGATGAAGTGCCATTTCTGTTTCCCAGATATATCCACTCCAAGGAAAAACCATTCAAATGTCAAGAATGTGGTAAGGGATTCTGTCAGTCCCGCACCCTAGCCGTCCATAAAACCTTACACATGCAGGTAAGCTCAGAACAGCCCTGATCTTAAATGCTAAAAATAAAATCCAATCAAAACCTGATGTCTACTGCATGCATGGGGTATATAGAGCAGACTTTTAAAAAAAAATGCAGCATTTGGCCCATGATCTAAAAACCAAATTTAAAGATAAACTCAGAAAATGTTCACTAAAGCTGACATGTTTGAAAGATCTGAGGTGTACAATTAAAGGGAATAATCCTTTGCTTGCTTTAAATCTAAACAGGAGTCTCCCCACAAATGCCCCACATGCGGAAGAACCTTTAATCAAAGAAGTAACCTGAAAACTCACCTTCTCACCCATACAGACATCAAGCCCTACAGCTGTGGCCGCTGCGGAAAGGTGTTTCGGCGCAACTGTGACTTGCGACGGCACAGTTTGACGCACAGCCCAGATCAGGACTACTAGGCCCTGGACAGACTAATACAAAAATAAAGTAAAAAAAAAAAAAAAGAAGGAAGAAAAAAGGAGAAAAGTCGACAGAAAGGTTCACCGACTTCTTTTTTTTTTTTTTGTCATCAAAGAGACTTTCCAAACCAGGACCTCGTTGCCTTGCTGCGCGTTTTTTTTTACCGAGGAGATTTGTTTGCACCTCAAGGAGAAACCAAAGAAGCCATGAAAACCAACACCCAGCTTCCCCTGCACCTGTAAATACAGACTGTGTATAAAAAAAAAAAAAAAAATGAAGATAAAAATAAATAAAATGTTTGTTTTTATTTTCTTCTTCTGACCTTGAAATAACAAAATTGTCAGCAAAAGTCATAAGTTTAAAGTATGTTAAAAATGTATTTTAGAAATAAATATTTTCAAGACACAAGTGCACTCGTCCTGTTCCTTTTTTTTTCTTTTCTCTCCAACCCAATATTGCTCCAGCTCTGAAAAACCAAACGTGGAGAAAACAGCTAATCTTAGGCCTCCGCTGTGACTCATTGTTGGAGTTCATTCACTTTAAATCGAAAGCATGTAAGAACAGGAGGACTCCATGCAGAAAGAGGACTCTGATCATAAGAGTGACTGTTTAATTACAGCAGTTGTTGGTCTTGTTTCTGAATCAAAGGGCTCTGATATTATTGTCCTGAGGCTGATAAGAATATTAGGCGCATTAGGAGCCGCATCACGTCTTTATCTGCAGCATGCACTGCTGATTGTGTCATTGACCTGCCAAACGGAAGGAGGAGGAACCAAAGGCTTTTTAATAAATATGTGGACTACTAACCTGCAGAGATTTTACTAATGAGAACACATGCATGCAAAAAGCTGGCAACAACATTAAAAAAGAAAGACAACAGTTCTTCATCTGCATTAGAAAGTTAATGCAACCATGCATGCTTTGTATTAGGCTGATTGAAATGATTATTTCTTAAATTATTTAAACATGAACCGATGGGCGCTCCAGAGCCGATCGAGGTTCACTGTTTGGATTTGGATTCAATCCAGTTGAACTCTGACCGCAGCCACAGATTAACCTCCAGAGCTCTGATTTGCAATAGGATGAGCTGATATATCATATTTTTTTTATTATTCGGTAGGCCTATAAAAAACAAAGCCACTGATCACAGCGTCCTGTTGCTCCCACCCATCAGTGCTCTTATATACCGGTTGGCAAAACAGAAAGATAAACAAGCAGGCCTAAATTAGAATAATAGAAAGCTGAATGCATGCAGTGAGTCTAAATAAAAGAACGAAAACCCCGAAAGATGTCTTAAAAAAATGCATTTATTTTAAAAGTCTGTACAGATGGTAATTCCTGCTAGAAAGTCAGATTAGGATTATACACTTAAGTCGAGATTTAGGCGAGATTCTGGAGCAACAAGGACGGATTAAGCCTGTTTAAAAAGGTTTTCAACTTGTAATGTTGGACTATTTTTGGAATTAATAAAACATAATAATAATAATAATAATAATAATAATAATAATAATAATAATAATAATAATAATAATAATAATAATAATAATAATAATAATAATAATGAAATATGTTGTTTGCAGTATATATTTAGATTATTTTATATAGTTTAACCCGTCAACGTTTTTTTGCATTATTTACACATTTACGCTTCATGATGCATTTTGTCCCTTTTAAAAATATATGTTTATCAGAGAATAAAGGCGTGGATTCATAGTGACAGTTTTTTATATTTACATTTTTTTAAAGTCCGTTTTAAGTTTTTATTGGTTAGAATTTTTTTTTACATACTACATACATTTTTACAATTACAGTTAATATTACACTTAGTCTTATACATTTTTCTAACGTCCACATTTGTTTGTCCATTTTTTTCTATAATTATTTTGCTGCTGGAAACACCAGAATTTTCCCATTGTTGGACAATAAAGGGATTTTCAATTATTGTCTATTCTATTCTATTTTATTCTTTTCTTTTCTTTATATTTTCATACATTTTTCGGGAGCATCTTTTGTGAAGATAAGAAAAATTACACTAGCCCTTCCTTCCTAAAACAGATTAAAATAATCTGCTTTTCAGAAATCCAGTAGAATATAACTAAATAATATTAGTAGCGTATTGCTGATGCACTAAAGAGGAAACAGAATGTTTATCAGAGAGGAGTTTGTTAGAGGACAGTTGAGTCCTGGCCTCAGTGATCTCCATTAGGAAGGAGTGAGTGGACACTGGGCCTCACTCAGCCTTATCTAACTGACAGGTTAGAGGCTGCAGGCCAATGGGATCCGCTGTCCTCACTTCCTATCGTTATATGACCTTATATGCGGGAAAACACTTTGGAGAATAAGGAACCCGTTCCAGAATTACTTTATTACACCTGCTACAGCTAAATGCAATTTGAGATTTTATTGCTTTCCAAAGAGGCCACTGATTTTTCATTGATTCAAATCCAAACCCCTGCTTGTTTTTCAAAACGAACTTTAAAGCATTATCCAGCAACGGAATTAATTGCAACAATTAAATCAGCTCAGTAATAAACGAATTTCTATACAGGTGTAAAAAACAAAATGTTTAAAAAATGTTTTAACTTTCTTTTCTTTTCATTATAACACATTTTTTAATGACTTATCATCCATTTCTAATATTTTTTTCTTAACGACAGTTTATTTCATGGCAATATCAGCCAATCCCCCCAACATTAGAAGTTATCTTTAGGGCGATTTGCATCAGATTAGAAGTGCAAAATGAAAAGAAAGATAATGTTACAGAAAAAAAACAGGATTTCATAGTAATAAATATCTCACTATTTTGATTTTTTTTTCTCGCTTCACGTTTTAAATAAAAGCAGTCAGGGCAGGGATCCTGTTTCTATTGCAGGGGATAAAAACTGCTAATTAACTTTGTCATTACTCCCATCACTCATAATTTAACAATCGGGTTTATACATTTTCTTTTGTAAATACAATTTATTTTGACTGATGTCAACCTATTTGTTCCTTCACTTCATATCAGTCAAGTCCTCCTCACACACAGCCTCCAATTGGATTATCCTACTGCTGAAACATTTGCACTGCTTTCAAATATGGCTTTGTTAGAAAAAATACAGAAAATAAAAAAAAAATAAAAATTTGAGGATGAAGAAATGTGCCTTCAGGCCTAAATAAATAAAAACAATGATAAAGAAACACATGGACCACAAAAAACAGCAGTAATCCAGTGACATGTGATGTCAGCAAAATCCTGGTGTGTTTAGGATGGTAGATTATTTCAGGATTAAATTGCATTTCATAAAAATACCTAGCAGAGGAAAATTGTACGTTATAATGATTTATATTCGACCTACTGCATGGATTTATCATAAAGAGATTCAGTTTTTTCCTTCAAAATAGCAGATTAGGGTGTTTTTAAAAATAAAGATCATAATCTTAGTTGTAAAACACTTCTTCATATATCTAAGAGATGATAGCCAACACTCAAAATTTGCTCCTAAAATAAGATGCCAGTTATGTAATATTGATCAGAACATAAACGCATTAAACAGTTTTTTAAAACCATTAAGCATAACAATTATAACAGTGCTGACCACAGAAGAAATAAATCGTTGGTTGAAAGCATATTAGTTTTCGTCTGAATGCGTGAACCGGGTTGAGAAAAGCCTTTTTTCCTACGAACACAAAGGCATCATTGGAAATACGGAAGCCGCGTTGGTGTTTACAGATGACGTCGGAGCTGTAGCCGCTATGAGATGTAGCTGACAGGAGAAAAATGCTTCTTTAAAAGTGGAATTCAAGAAATAGTCACCGGACAGAAGCTGTAATTAAGTAAGGACTTTATTTCCGTTTCATTATCCTCGTGTTCTGGCTTAGAATGTCGTTTTATTAACCGTAGTTCAGCTTTTTTTCAGCAGGGTACGATGCTGCTGATGACAGGTATGGCTAGCATAGATAGCCTCTCACTTAAAACAGCTCCTCACAATGTTAAACTTTGTAGTAAACTTCACCAACGGTTTATTCATGTCTCTATCGTTTTTGAAACATGGCTGGTAATTATTGGTGTAACTTCTCCATCTTTGAATTTTGAAAGGAAGCGCTACATTAGCTCATAGCTTTAGCGGCTGCTTTAAAACTTTCAACTGCTAAAAGTTAAACACTGATATAAAGATAAAGAGACATTATGTGCATGTTAAAGGATATTAAGGTTATTCTGTAATTGCAGAGGGAACTACGCCACAAGTTTTATTAAATAATAGTATGAATAAAACGGCATTAGATGATGAATTATATTCTAACGTTAAAACATGCTAAATGTTTCTGTGTTTTGTAGCGAAAATTAACTAAATGACGGCAGTGAGGCTGATATATTTAATTATAGTCCCCTTTCTTAAGCAGCTATATCAATACAGGCAAAATACACAGCACAAACCTGAGTATTGCCTTTGATGAGAGCAGTTTAACAATTAATCTACCTTATTTAATCACGCTGGTTAGAATATAAAAAGATTAAATGTGCTTAACTGTATCTCTCATATTTTCATTCTTGACTATGAATGTTTTCTCCAGTTAGATGTATCTTGTTTTCTATCCAGCTGTGAAATGTCTCAGCGCTTCCTTTGGCAGCTGCACCTTTGCAGAGGTGGGAGATGTGGAGACATCCAGTCATCTCTATCGCACAGCAGCCTGTAGTGACCCAAATCCGATTTATTTGCCCATATGCGACCTGGATCTGATCTTTTCATGACAGTCTGAACAACACAGATCTGATTTTTTCCAATGCGACCCAGACCACTTGGCTAAGTGGTCCTGAATCCGATAAGTATCTAATCTTGTTAAATTCCCCGGGCGCCGCACAATGGCAGCCCACTGCTCCCCAATGGGATGGGTTAAATGCAGATAATTCATTTTGTTGCACTGTACTTGTGACAGTGGAATGACAATAAATTGTATTCTATTCTATTTTATTCTATTCATCTGACCTGAACGCCAATAATACCTGACAAAGCTCACTATTCTGCTTCTTGCTGCACAGAAGCAACAAGACACACAACACCAATTGTGGACGCTAATGCAGAGAGCAGTATTTATGTTTAACCATCTTGAAAAGATTGTTTTTTTTTTATTTTTATTTTTTTCCTGTCTGGCAATGTGGCAATAAGAATAATTGTCTTTATGCCAAAAAGAGCCCAACAGATTTTGCTTTCACAAGTGGAGCAGTACGGCTGTTGCCATAATCTTCTGCTTTATTTATGCATATAAATAGCTATATTATAATTCATGCAGGTTGTATTACATATTAAATGGACACTGCAATGTAAGTAGAGTGAAGTAAAGATTGGCTTTTTAATTTTGGGATAGATCACTAGATGCGCTCCAGCGCTATCATCCATGTTTACTTCTGTAAACGCAGAGCATTCTGGCCCATGATGTAATTGCGTCCTATGTTATGTGTTGTACCTGTGTTGTATGACTGCAGTTCATACAGGAGATCACATACAAGTCGCATATATTTGGAAATGTGAACAAAAAATCGGATTTCACAAAAAAAATCGGAATTGAGCATCAAGGCCTGCAGTGTGAACATAGCCTGTGACATGTATTTGTTCTGCCAAGCCACTGAACCAGGTGACTTCAATCTGCACAATTCACTTTGCAGATTGGACTCACCTGGCTCAGTGGCTGGGCAGAGCAAATACATGTAATTGAAATGACTTGTTGACTCCACATCTCCTACCTCTGGTTAGTAGCGACAAAAAGAGTTTAACAAAATCCGCTGCTCAGGGAGTATTTCATTGTTTTTCCATAGATAAACAGAATTGCCCTTGGTAGTTTCCATGCATTCCAAAAAAGTTAAAAACAATCCACTCGACTTTGTTTCCAAGTTTGAAGACGTTTCTCTTCCCATCCAGGAATCTTTTTCAATTCAAAATGTCAGGAATACCGTTGAGTTCGAGGTTTTGTACAGTAGCTCAACAAAGCCTTGTTTTTGTTTTGAAAACATGCAAATTGGAACGGACAAACGGGTCCAACCCTTTGAAATGGGATCGTTTGGCTTCCACTGCATGTGTAACTAATCTGTTACAAGATTCGCTGTCTGACATTCATATTTTGCTTTCACATGATATTCTGTCTGTTCAAGTCCTTGCTCCATCCGTCTCAGTGGTTGTTTCCCAGGACAGCTGTGGCTACAGATTAGCTCACCACCATCAACGTATGAATGTATCATTCAATTTAGTGTGGAGTTTTTTTGCACTCCTCATACTTTTGCTTCTTAAGAGTCTGTTTTCAAAAAATTGCATACTGACTTTATAAGGCATTTCTCAACTTGTAGATTGCCCAAACTGCTGATCCTGTTATCAACTAGCAAAAAGGTCCTGATGTGAAATTTAAGATAAAATTATTCTTGGCTTGAATAACAAATGTTTTTTATGTCTGCATACAAAATGGACATAAACACAATAAAGAACATTGAAATGTGACATCTGAAGCCACTCTGGTGTGCACACAACAGGCAGCGGAAAAGTTATACATGTTAGGAATGAGAAAAATCCAAGCGCAACCCTATGGTTTGAGGCTACGTTCACACTGCAGGCCTTGATGCTCAATTCCGATTTTTTTGCGAAATCCAATTTTTTTTGCGTTGCCGTTCACATTTCCAAATATATGCGACTTGTATGTGATCTCCTGTGTGAACTGCAGTCATACAACGCAAGTGTCCCGCATGCGCAGTAGAGGACGCAATGACATCACAAGCAACGCGTGGTCTGTGTATACAGAAGTAAACATGGATGGTAGCGCTGGAGAACAGTTAGCGATGTTTCCCAACCTTAAAAACTCAATCTTTCCAAGACGGTTAAACATAAATGCTGCTCTCCGCATCATCGTCCGCCATTGCTGTTGTTTTTCTTGCCACTTCTGTGTAGCAAGAAACAGAAGAGTGACCACTGTCGGGTGTTAATGACATTCAGGCCAGATGAATGCGACCTGGCCGTTCGCACACAGGTAGTCTTTGAAAAGATCAGATTCGTATCGGATCCAGGACCACAGAGCCAAGTGGCCTGGGTCACATTGAAAAAAATCAGATCTGTGTTGTTCAGACAGCCATGAAAAGATCAGATGGGCCAAAAAATTGGATTTGGGTCGCTTCAGGCTGCAGTGTGAACGTAGCCTTGGATGAGAATGAGCTTAACATGGATGGATCCAGCATAGTGTTGGCTTTCCTTAGCTTTGCTTTTCAGCACTGCTCTCTCTGTTGTGGAATTCAGGTCAACAGAAACAGAAATTTGGTCCATTTTGGCTATCTTTGTGCTTTTTTGCGTGGTGTTTAAGCTGCTGTGGTTGCTAATGAGGGAAAGCCCTCTTCTTAGAGGGCTAAAAGCTTAGAGGTTAAAGTGCTGGACAGGAATAGTCCCTTTACCTTAATTATTTCTACTTTTCCCTATTAAGGTTTCATCTTCTAATTAATCGCTTGCTGATCCTCCTTTCTTCCTCAAATGATACGATTAAAATTTAAGCTGGATTTTGTTAAGCAGATCTGCTTGAATTAAAAGTAACGTGTCACGATACTTGGGTAACGATACAATATTATCTCTATATTGCAATTTCAACATATATTTATATATTTTTCCTGCTATCTAAATTGAATGTATAGATAAAAAAGCAACCTCCTTATATGTTCATCAGATGATGCTGATCGTTCAGTTATTTTGGTATCCATGTTGTTTGGGGTTTTAGTCGGTCCAC